CGTCGCCCTGACGAGGGCCTGCGTCGGGCTCGGGACGGGCGACCTCTACCTCATGCAGCACCGCGGCTGCTGCGAGCCCAGCACGCTCGCCCAGTTGGCCCAGTCCGCCATCCGCTGCGCTGCCGCGCGCAAGGCCTCCATCCTCGAACAGGTCAAGCAATTGTGCAGTTATCCCGCGCGTTGAAAGCGGGGGTGGGATTCCTAAATGCCGATTTTTTCCCTAAGACTAACACTAAATTTTATTACTTAGGGCATTGGCCCGTTTTTTCTTTCAGGTACCCTTGGGGGTTGGTTGCGTTTTTTTCCGAAATAAAATCACTTTTTTCCTCTGAGAAATAAAAATATACTTTTTTTTCTTTGTAGATTCAATTACCACGTTAGTTTTGTTTGCATGCGATAGCTTAGAAAAAGTATCTTTGAATAATGAATGAGTGCGTAGAATATTCCAATTTTAACTCGGACGCCAAAGAAAGTCCTGTTTTCGCAACCGAAGACGTCATTCGTCGAGCGTGCAAGAAGCACAACGGCTATTCAACTCCAGATCTGAACGAAAAACTTTACCTAAACCACCTTGGCCTTTCAGGTCTTAGCTCAGCGTTCAGCTTGTATGTCAACTGCACCGCCCTGTACCTCAATCACAACGCGCTCCATGACTTGACCGACCTAGGCTGTTTAATTAACCTGAAATCTCTTTATCTTTCCTTCAATGCGCTCGATTCCTCTTCATCTTGGCCCACGTTTGCTGCCCTCGAGCACCTGGACGTCTCCAACAACTATTTAAAGCGCCTTGATGACATCAGTCATGCAGCGCCAATGCTGAGGACTCTTCTTGTCTCTTACAACAGAATCGACAGCCTCGGGAGTGCGCTGGAATCCCTGACGGGCCTGACCTCCCTGGATCTCTCTCACAATCACTTGGAGTCCGACCCACTCGTCCTTTTGGACGCCCTCACGCGTCTGAAGGAAACTCTAACGACGTGTGTGCTCTCCGGCAACGGCATCACCCGGGATTTACAAAATTACCGAAAGCGCCTGATTCACGCCTTGCCCGCGCTCCGCTTTCTCGACGTCCTTCCCGTCGCCGCGGAGGAGCGCGAGCGTGCGGAGGCCTTTTGCTGCGGCGGCACGGCCGCAGAGCAGGCCACACGGGCGGCCATTCAAATGCGCGAACGAACGGAAAAGGCGAGGCGGGATGCGTACTTCGAGGAGGTCCGAAGGGCCGCGCGGGGGGCCTCGGGCTCGACAGACACCTCGAAACACATCACTCCCCTTGCGGCCTTCTTAGGGGATTGAGATGATGGGATATCCTGGAAGGTTACCCCACCGCCATTTCCATTCCTCTATTCCATCCACCAAATTAGTTTCACGTCGATTCACCATTCGGATTATCCAACAATTTTAGGTGGCAAATTGTCGAAATTTTAATGATTCTTTTTTTTATATTTACAGGCCCTGTAGATTACTCTCTCTCTCCCCCACCCCTTCCCCACATACACATGGATGGTGAAGAATTACAAAATATCCTTTTTTTTGAGGCTTGTCAGAAAGGCTAAGCACGCAAACGGATAAATCATTCCCAGGTGTACTTTCCTTGCCAAACTTGGACGCTATTTAAGGGAAGAATACAACTAGAGCTGAAGGAGCTTGTCCAGTGGAAACTCTTTCTAAAATTTTGTCTTAGAAACGTGTCCTTGAGGATGAAGTAATGAAAATACTAAAATGGAAAGAAATCAACGAATCATGAAGGTGGCTTTAATGAAGACGTTATGAACAGCAAACCCTATCACACAACACAACATCCACAATCCACTAGAAAAGCAAACCATGTTTATAAACATTTAACCTCTTTGACAAAAATATCTTTTGAATGCTAATAATTTGGTAAAAGAACCCTGATTTTATAATCTCGCTTATGAAACTTCCCTTTGATGCGTCATTTGTATTATAGACATATTTATATATCCCCATTAGTAAAGCGCTCAGGCTATCTTTTTATTACAACAACTCAAAACAGGAACAGTAGTTCCCCATGTGACTCACCATTAACGCACACGTGTGCAATGGAAGCTTCAACTTCTGGAAGTAGAGTAAATTGGTGTCGATTGGGTCCTGCGTCGAGCCGAGGGTGAGGTGTGGACTGTAGTTTTCCAGCGAATTCTTCTCGTAAAAATCAATCATACACTCGACGCTTGCGTTCCCATCGGCTGGAGAGGAGTTGTGGAATGCTGATTTTCCCACGTTCATGGAGCTCAGCTTGACCTGAAAGGGTTTGATTTTTTCAAGCATATCACTATGAAGTGCCATCAAGGCGTCAGTTCGTGTGATGGCAATGTACGGCAGACGAATCTCCTTTTCCGTCGCCGTCGTCCCGAACACCGGTCCAGGGTGGATGTCTGTCAACTCGAGCTTTTCCTTGGACTCCTCCGCGGCCTCCCTGTGGACATTCCACACCTTACGCGCAGCCTCCTTTACATCCGTCAGCTCCGTCGCCCGAATGCACAACTGAACGAGGGTGCAGTGGACGTAGCCGTAGCCAGTCTGGAGTTTTTTTTTGGATAAAGATTCGAGGCGATAGTCGATGTTATTCTCTGCGGCATCACTGTCTCCGTGTGGACAAAGAGAACAGGAAAGAGGAATGGCGACCTTATCGAACGCATTGCACACCAGAACAATCTTGACACCAATAAAGGACATGATTAACAAAGGGTAATGTGGGACAACAACAGGAAAAACTATGTAAAATCGAACTCAGTGAGGGAGAAAACAAGCTTATAGGAATAGACGTATTTCTTTTGGTCGGCTTGTTTTACCAACTCCATGTGTTGTACATGGCAAGATTCATATTTGTGCTTTATAGCAAATTGTACAATAAAAAATGTATATTGTAGATAGGGCTACTGGTACGAGTTCCTAAATGAATGGGTTCAAAACACACTCTGTATAATTTGTTCTCAAAGTCCAGATGGGATGCTAGGCCGGTGTTTAGCAACACAAGCCCTCCAACAGAACCTTTGCCACATCACAAGATAGGGGCTTGGAATCAAAATTGTGATCGTTAAAGTACAATTTCTGATTCCAACTACCATCACCGCGTATTCTGTGCCAACCATTGGAGATATTCATAGCACTTATTGTCTACATTCTGGACTTTTGAGTTTGCCTCGGGAAGCTCCAGACGACGTAGTAGACGTAAAATCAAATGTAATCAGAAAACCCACAGAACATCTCAGATATTCTGAAATAAAAAAGACGCTCCTCATATTCTTTGGCAATAAGTTCACTTGATAACACAGTATAGTAAAGCAACCAAACAAACTTTTTTACATTCATTTGCCTGTAGAGGAAAAAAAAAAAAAGAAATAGTCCCAATCCACCTTTCCTGCACAAATACATATCGTCTTGAGGGTTACTGCCTAATTGAATTAAAAATTTTCAGTTTATATAGATACAAAACCAGAAACGTGAAAAAATCATTGTCTCAATTCCGAGTATAGAGTGAAAGCATTGATGCGAAAAGTGAAAAAAAGGATGGACCCAGCATCATAAACGGTATAATCGTTTCAGAGACATTGAAAATACGCCAAAAAGGAAATAGTATTCATAAGACCCTCCCCTCTCGATACCTGCGGACTACAAAAAGGGACGCACCCGACTCTCCACAAGAGGAAATCCCAATTGGTTATACATTGCCACCCACCCGTGGATCGCTTTCCCTCGCGACAGGTGGAGGACGACGGCTGTCGTCGTCGTCGGGAAGCCCCGTCCCCCGAGGGGCCGCCCCCTCCTCCTCGCCGTGACACGCCCACGTCGGGGCCCTTTCGTCCCCGGCGGGGGCCCCTTCCCCTTGGGCCCCCTCCCCCTGTGCCACCTCCTCCAGCAGGCGGTCGACCAGGGCCGTGACGCGGGGCCGGGCCTGGACGTCCTCCGCGAGGAGCTGCAGCGCCGTCTGAGTCGCCGCGTCCGGCATGGGGGGGACCTCGGGCAGGCTCGCCCGCAGCAGGGTCGCGACCTTCTCCGGCAGGACCCCGCCCTCCTCGGCGTGCAGGAAGCCCGCGATGTCGGTCTCCAACGCCTGGTGGAAGGACCGGAGGGGCTCCCATCGGCGCACCGTCGCGAGCTGGAGCGCAGCCCGACGGATTAAAAGCGCTTCAGCGTTGGTCAGACTCGCCTGCAGAGTTCGGATGCGCTCCGCCGTTTTCACCACCGACGACAACCGGTTGGCGACTTGTCGGACCTTCATGAGGAGGCGCCGCGTCTTGTCGATGTGGGAAAGGCAGATCCGAACCAATAGAAGCTGCTCCTCAGATTGGTTCTGAAGGAAGGGGATCATACACTCATCGACTTCACCCTCCACTGAATCGCCAGGAATACATGGCGGTTCTTGAGTTGCCACACCTATGGTTCCCATTTGCTCTTTTGCGGTTTTAAACATCTCCATGGTCTGTACATAGTCCTTTACGCACCCATCACATTTCTTCTTGGCAGCGGTTAAAAGATGCAGAAGCGCGGCTGGGGTGTACAAAACCTGCCCGAAAAAGCGCACTGGCTGCACATCTACCACCTCGCTTTCATCCGACGCGGCGGGAGATGACGGAGAAAGGATCTGGCTACTTTCGAGCGCGTCCCACACATGCTGGGAGAGCTCCGTGAGCTCTCGCTCCTCTGTAAGGAGCTGATCGTAGTGAAGGTGAGGCACCTCTTTAAGAAGCGCGATCGCGCGCCGCAGATGAGCGATCTGCCCTGGCGGGCATTGCGGGACTTCGCTGCAGCGCGCATCGCCCGATTGTGTTAATAGCTGCGCCATCATCCTCTGCGCGTAGCCGCGATCACAAAAAACCAGGACAACGTCGCCGTGTGAAATCAGGGCGTCCGGTACAAGCGGAGTTCCGGTTTCGTAACAGAAGAAGTCCATTCGCTGCGAGAAGTACTTTTCGTCAGAGTTGGTATCACCACTTTGTCGACTGTCGTCTCTGGACTTAACAGAGACTTTCGGATTCTTTCCCCACATCAAACTCATTTCCCGGCTGTTCGGTCTTGCTTTCGTTAGCTCTGGGTGCATGATGCCCTCGAAAAAGCTGACCAAATTCTTTAACTTGATCACCGGGGGTGGGAGGGGAATAGGTTTGCTCAACTGCACCTCCCCCATCGTCGAAGTTACCGCTGAAGAGCTGCGGGAGATGCTCCCTCCTCCTCCGACTACTGATGGGCACTGCTGAGGATCGGGCAAGACTAAATTTCTCTCCCCTGGGGAGTTCGAATCGCTGATGCTTGCATTTCCAGGAATGATGCACTGAATACGCGATCCTAAAGTGGCGAATATTGTGAAGATTGTGATCTGTGACGGTTCCTCTGATCCTGTCTTGAATCCTGTTAGCATGTAGCTGTGTGGTTACCGATGCTAATAAACCAAACAGAGTAGATAAAGGATAGAATTTTGTGTCAGATATCAGAAGATATAGATACATAGGTATTGAAAAATATATTGAAGTAGAAGTTTTCCCTTTAATACAGTAGCACCGGTATAAAGCTCGGTAACAATTCCTCCGCGAACGATATTGAAAGTACCGAGAAAGCGCAATAAAATCACCTAGATGAAGTATACAATTTTTCAAAGATTACGTCTGTAAACATAAACATACTTATTGCTGTATAGAGTAAGAAAATAAAACAAATCGGATGATCCTTTAATCTTCCCCTGATAAACCTCAAAAAATAGCTATCCTTAAGCAATGAAGATAATTTTATTATTGTTTGAAATTTATTTGCAAAATAGCCGAACTCCAGGCTGTTCAAATCTCAGATGAAATTAAACTAATACTGAAAGAAATTCGATCACTAGAGGTTTGCTTCGTCTTCGTCACAACGAAAATGAACTACATAATGCTTGAAAATTGCTCAAGGGAGGGGAAAAGAGCAGAACGGATAACTACGATTGCACCGTTGAGTCGATAAAATCGAACCGACCTAAAGTTTTCTAATCAAAAAAGGAATACCCCCCGCTTCGTTAGAGCAGCGTGCATCCGACCTGCTGGGGCTTGCCGGCGATGCGGTGTGGGACGGCGGTGCCGTAGACCTCCAGCACGTCGAGCCGCGTGAGTGCCCCCTGGAGCCCTGCGATGCTGGTGAGTCGTCGGCATCGTGTAAGGTAAAGGCGTTGGAGGGCGGGGCACCGCGCGAGGCTTGCGACGCCGTCCGCGGTGACGCCGGTCCCCTCGAGGTGGAGCTCCCGCAGCCGCCCCAGCGCCGCCAGCGCGGCGACGTCGGTGACCCCCGCGCAGCGCCCCAGGCTGAGGAAGACGAGCCCGGCGCAGCCCGCCAGCCCGGCAAGCCCGGCGTCCGTCAGGTGCGTCCGCGACGCGTCGAGCACGCGCAGCCGGCGCAGGCGGCCCAGCGCGGAGAGGTCCGTGAGGGCCGCGCAGCCGGCAACGGAGAGCCGCTCGAGAGCGGTGTAGCCCCCGACGACGGCGAGGGCCGCGTTAGTGAGGCCCGCGTTGACTGCGACCATCGCGCGCAGCTGCGGGAGCGGGGGCAGCCCCGCCAGGGTCGTTAGGTGGCGACACTCCGACAGGTCGAGGTGCGTCAGCCGCGTGCTCGACGTGAGCTGCAGGGCGAGGTGCAGGTCGTTCAACACCCCGCGCCGGATCGAAAAGGTCAGAAGATCCGGAAGGGTCAGGCTTGGCGGCGCGTCCGAGTCCTTGGGGAACAGCATCGGCGGGAACAACGACGTCTTGGGGGAATCCCCTAACAGAATCATCGAGTTGTGCGAGGACGTCTCCGTTCCGAGCGTGGAGGAGGTCCGGCTCAGCGCGCTGTGCACCCCAATGGTGCTGCTGGAGAGCATTTCCGAGAAGATGTCACTCTTCACGGTTCGCTGTGAATTAAACGTCTGCTGTAAGCTTGTAAAGCCGCTCAGTGAGCTTAGCCGGCGCGAGGTCGTGCCAAACGACGAACCCATCTCGTCGACCATCGAAAAGTAGTCCAAGTCAAGCCTCTTCAGGTTCCTCAGGCTATGGAGCCCTGCTAGGCTCCTCAGCTGACGACAGCTCTGCAGGTAGAGGACCTCAAGCGCGGTGCACTCGTGAAGCCGGCTCATACCGGCGACCGTCAGGCTTGTGTAGGAAAGGTTAAGCGCCTTCAGCGCGGGCATCCTTCCCAACGGCGTGATGTCCGTCAGCGAGAAGCAACGAGAAAGGTTAAGCAATTTGAGCGCCGTGCACTTCGCCAACCGTTGGATGCACGAATCCGTTAGAGAAGTGTTCTCCAAATCGAGGTACTCCAGAGTGGTGAGGTTCTCGACAAAATCAAGCTCGCGTAAATATTTGCAACTTTTTAGAGAGAGGTACCGCAATAAGATGAGGTCCGATAGGTGCTGCGCTTCGTCGTCCGTAAGGGAGGTTCTCGCTAGGCTGAGCCAACGCAACACCGAAAGCGGTTTAACAAACGCGATTGTAGTGAGCCGAATACACTCAGAGAGGTTTAAGTAACGCAATACCTTACACGCGGAGAGTGCGCTCAAACCCTCGCTCTTTACCCCGCTGCAGGACAAATCAAGCGATACGAGTTGGGACACCAAAGATATCCAGTTATTGACGGACCTAAGGTTTCCAGAACGAGAGAGATCGAGACGGGAAAGTGGCATATCAAGCAGCGCCGTGCAGCCGTTATCCACAAGCGAGTTATCGGACAAACTCAAGACCTCCAGCTGCCGTAAAGGCTGAAGATGGTTGACGTTTGTGAGCCGCTTGAGTGAATTTAGATGAAGCTCAACCAGTTGCGTGCAGTTGGCGATCTGCTGCATGTGCTCATCAGAAAAGTAGTTTTGAGAAAGGTTGAGCAACCGAAGAGATCCACCGATGCCGCTCAAGAAGCCCAGGTACGTCATACGACGACACTCAATAAGGTGAAGGTGTCGAAGCTTTGTACATTCCCCGAGGAATTGGACCTTATCGTCTTTGATCGAGCAGTTTTGCAGGCTGAAGCAGCGCAGCTTGGGGAGCTTGGTTAGCGGCTGCAGGGATTCCACCCCTTTGCAGCGGTGCAGTAGCACACACACCAAGTTCGTGCAGGATCCCAAGACTTCAATGAATTCCTGCTGTAACGGTGTGCAAGAAATATGTAGGCATTTGAGCTTTTTCAAGAGGCCTATCGACAAAGTGCCCGAAAGGTACCACTTGGTGTGTCCACGGCGCCCCTCCACCACGGAAGAGGATAAAATAGAGTCGATATAGACAAGTGAAACCCCAGGTTTGCTTGCAATGCAGGAAATAATGCTAAGGGTGGTGAGATCTGCGCAGGTTGAGATTGACTGCATCCACTCCGCCGTTAGCGTGCAGCGCACACAGTGGAGGTCGGTTATGGTCAAAAGCTGGCGAAGCATCGAGAACTTTGTCAGCTGGTCGTTATTACACATATTCACTAGTTTGAGAGAAACATTATGGTATCGGGAAAGCCACCACACATTCAATATTGCCAACTGTAAAGCTTTGGTTGAGGCACACATCACAGATACCGAAAAGAGCATATCCTCTTGCCCGCACTGGCGCCAGCAGCGCGCCGCAAAGGTGCACGTAGAGGAGTGGACGACATCCACGCAGTCTCCGTTCGACGTGTTGAATTCGTTTTCATCGCTTATCTCCCTATCAAAAGGATCCTGATCAGACTTCCGTGGGGGACCGCCGGGGCTGGGCCTCCCGTATGGATACTGGTACCCGGTGTAGGGGTAGCGATGCCCGCTCGCCTCGGTATATCGCCGCCCCCCCTCGGCCTCTGGGCAGGTAAACAAATAAAACGGGTTCTCCTCCTCCGCGTCCTCGTCGTCGTAGGGGGTGGTGGAGTGCCCGTGATGCCCTGCGGCGCGAGGGACGTCGTCCTCCACCAGGCCGCCCTCCCGATGGGCGGGGACGTAGACTTCCCCGGCCACGCAAGGCATCACGGCGTAGCCGGCGCACGCAATCCCCTCCGTTCGCTCCGTGAACAGACGGATGGAGGGGGTCAACAGCGCAAACGACCACGGCGTCCCGCGCGGGAAGTACTGCGTGATCGAGCGAAGTACACTCCCCGGAGGCCGCCACGTCCGCTTGTTATTAATCAGCACAAAAGAGGACGTGGGGGATTTGCCGAAGGAGGGCCGTTTTAGGCTCAGGGCGGATAGCTGCTGGGAGGAAAACATCGACCCGCTGGAGCGGATGTCGTGGAACGAGACATCCGCGGAATCGGTCATTACTAAAAAATATCGAAAAAATAAAATAAAATAAAACAAAAGGGTTGCTAATAATGACCTAATTCTTCCCTAAATATGACGATTTATAGTTGAAAACATGAATATTATAGATATCTATGTATATATATTTATAGATAGATATATGTGTGTATGTTTTTGCAGATAAATTAATAACTTCTCCCTTAAATGATATAAGTAATGATCAGTGACTTTATGAAACAATCAAGTGTACCTTGTAAACTAACTAAGCAAAAAATACTAGGTAAAATAATGAGCTAGAATAAATTATGAACGTGAAGATAAAAAAAAATATTATATAGTGAGAATGAGTATACACTTATATATATATATATATATACATGCGATAGTCAGCAGGAACTCAGGATATACTAAAGGGGAGGCTCACGCAACATTTGAGCATTGGTATTCTTGAAAAAATGAATGAACAACCAATATTTACAAAATAGTAAAATAGAACGGGTCAAATCATAGGTTGCCTTGGCAGCTTAATTATACCTTAAAGCGTAATATTTCACTCTGGGATGTATATTGAAGTTTATTATGAAAGGTTTTCAGTTCAATACAAAACGTATTGTCTTCCAGCACATGTGCACATCAATGAGATTCACAGGAAAGTTTCCATCGAAGTTGAACAGGTATGATAATGCGCAATACAGAAAGGGAAAAAAACTGGGAACAGGTTAGCTTTCTCTCTCAGTAGTTCTTGTGATAATGCGCGATCTTATCATGATGTAAAGTGTCAAAAAAGCTGGTAATTTCATCAATAGAAGATTCAAATGCGATACGATCGTACAGATGGCAGATATGAACGTGTACGATGCAGCGGCAGTCCTCATGAATCTTATTCAACACGGCTTTCGAGCTATGGCATGGTTCCCGCCAAGAGGATTCGGGGATGCCAAATAACAAAACCGTCATTACGGAACTAATAAGGTGTTCGATACACAACATCCATCTCGCGCACCACTCCATTTTTCCAACCAATTGGTGAAAATGAACATCCCCGCGCTCCTCCTGGAACATCTCCGACAATAAAAGAGATGGACTTAGAAAAATGCGCACGAGCAAAAACACCTCATACACCGCGGAGTAAAATTTTTTCAGGCAACGAATAAACGCGTTCTCACATAATGGTGGGGTAAAAAAGGAGGAGTAAGAAGAAGAGGAGTGCGCCTTTTCCATCCGATGCCAGACTTGCAAACGAACGGAAGGATCCAACAACATTTCATCTGGTAGGGAATTCACCGCGGGCGGGCGTTTGCGTCTACATGGAATAATAGGCAAATAGTCACAAGCGGGCTTCAGCAATGCGCCTAAGAGCATCATACGTGGTCTTTTCTCCTGTGTAGGAAAAAGAAACTCTGTCACTTGAGTATACCACACATTCAGATTCATACTGCTCTGCGCGTTCGCGCGATTATAAACGAAAATAACACCGTCGAATTCAATGTCCTTCAGAGGGAGCATCGCCCCCGCACTAAATGTGTGTATTCCTCCAATCTCGTAGAACTCGATTGTCTGCGTTCGAAAGGATTTTGCGAGGATATTACTTTGACTGTTAGATAGGCGATGCTCCCCTTTTTTTCTTGTGCACAGAGAAATACCCACTTCCCCTATTGCCTCATCTCGACTACAAGCTCCCGGAAAGGAATCCTCAATACCGCCATAAAGTTGATCTTCACTAAGGAAATGATCGAAATGGAAAGGCGGCGTTGCTTTTGGTGAGGTAAGAAGAGGCGACCGAAGACGATTTTCAATTAATGCATCGCGAACCAAGACATCCACCGCAAAGCCAATCGTCGGAGGCCACGCGCAATCCCAATAAAGACTCTTCGTCGCCTCGCTCAAGGCTGAGGAGGTGAAGACATCGTAGCACAAACGACGAATAAAAAAAGTTTTTCCAACTTTGCTTTCCCCAACTATGAGGATACGAAGAGTGTTGGGGTCGTCGTGTGAAAAGTCAGTCATCCTTTTCACACTTTTTCCTCCCAGCTTTGATCTGTTTACAGATCTAATGAGGTAACACGAATAATGCAAAGGGAAAGCTCAGCGGAACCAAAAAGGAGACATTCACAACAAGGAATTCTATTTAAAAAAACGTGAAAAATCTTCCCTGACGTGTATGTCCCTTGAATAAATGTGATGATATTAAGTATGTTGACTAAAGAAAATGGTGAAACCAAAAAGACAGAGAAAAGAAAATTAACCATAGTACATAACGTAATATTTTGAGCAGAACAGCCGGACCCTTAAAGAATAAAGGAAAAAAAGAGCAATCGACACGAAAATATAGAGTATGATGCCATCCAGAACTACAAAAGGAATGCCCACACACAAGCCCGTTAACTTATCTATTTTATGCCTCTTGTAACTTCCACATCTTTATACTTTTATCGCTTTCTGCAGTAATAAGACGCGTACCGGAGAAGTCGTACACCATCGCATTAATGCCCCCTTCTCCAAGTAAAGTTCCAGGTATCGGCTTTGTTTTCGTGAACTGATACGGACGGAAATGATAACTCCTCCCCTCATCAGCGGAGACAGGAATGGGTTGCGGAGTATTCCAGTCATAAAATGCAAGTTCACCATCTGCGCCACCGACAGCAAGAACCTCACGCGGGCTCATTGTACAGGCGCTCCAACGATATGCAAACTCCTCCTCCTCCACAACAGCCGCTTTCCCACTCTTTTGACCGCCATTTCCTTCCGCTTTTCGCCGCTTTGAACGATGTTCCGTTGCTTTAGCATCGAGGGTGGTGTTCGCAGTGCACAAAAAATCCCCTGAAGGTATATCCCACACTCGGATATCATCTGCCCCACACGAAATCAGCATTCTTCCCGTCGTATTCATTGTCAAACCACGCACTGGTTTTTTATGACGCGTCAACCGCCTATCAAGTTTCCCGGCTGCTAGATCCCATAAACAAATAAACCCATCACTCCCGCCCGAAATAATCTGCGGATCAGTTTGCTGGCAAACTAATGACATAATGCTGTCGGTGTGCGTAAAAAGATTCTGAACGGCGGCTCGTGTGCGGATATCCCACACCCGAACGACTCGATCCCTCCCCCCGCTCACAATAATATCTAAACTAGGATGGGTAACGATGCTATGCACGCCCCCGCGATGGCCAAAAAAGCTGCGAATCGCCTCATTTCGCTCGAGATCCCAGCATTTGATGGAGTGATCATCACTACCGCTGAACAGGTAGGGCGAGCGCTTGCTCACGTCAAGGCTTCGGACGGATTCGTTGTGGCCGGTGAGGTTCAGCTTCAGCACCCCTGTCGACATGTCCCAGACCTTGATCAGGCCATCCCCGCCGCCGGTGGCGAACCACGCGTTGCTCGGGTCCACCGTCGCGGCCCAGACCCAACCCT